TCCCTTCCCCTCCCCTCCCCTCCCTTCCCTTCCTTTCCCTTCCTTTCTTTTTCTTTTTCTTTAGAGTCTTGCTAAGTTGCCTAGCCTAGCCTCAAACTTGTGATTTTCTGCCTTAGCCTCTGGAATAGCTGGAGTTACAGACATGTGCCACTGCACCTGACTTATCTATCATCTACACTTTAGGAGACACCTTTGATGGGGTGCTCTGAAGACCCCAAGACATGTATGACATGGCCCTGCAGCCTCACACCTTAACCTCTTACCACTCCAATTATTTAAATACAGGATGACCAAAAATTGCTTATTTTTTGTTAATTTTTATAAGATAATAGGAAATGTAAAAATGATAATTTATCAATTTATTGAATAATTTTTCCGTTTATGTTATATCTTCAAGTATTCAGTTTACAGTACAACATTACAATCTGGACAGTAGTATCTAGTCTCTTTCTGAATTTTTTTTGCATTGTTATCTTTCTTTGAACAGTACACGTTAAACTGTCCTGTTGGCCTTTCTTTCTTTCTTTTTTTTTTTTGGTACTGGGTATTGAACTTGGGACCTTGTGCTTGTGAGGCAGACAGTGGAACCACTGAGCTAAATCCCCAGCCCTCCTTTTTTTTCATGGATGGTATAATTTCAATAAAATGTCTACCCACTAAACATAATGGTGAAGATGTCAGTGATCGACACTCTGATTGGCTTTTGCTATGTCATATTTTTCAATTATTTGGTCTATTAGACCTAACCTAAATTGTAAGTGACTTTTTGAACTCCCTTGTTTTGAATAAATAACAAATGAGTTCCATATTGTTTGGTCCAGAAGGTGCATACATATTTTATAATAATTTTTTTCCTCACTTTTTGATTACAAGATAGCTTGTTAGATCTTGGTCAACTTGTCAACACCACCTATAGAATTATTATAATCATTGACTACCATTGGAATTTTTTTAGTTTTGTTTCTTCTTTCAAGTTCTATCATTTCTATATTATGAATAGTTGACAATAAGGAGACATCTTTTTTGCCCTTCCATTTTATAACACAGACTTTTACTCTCTGATATGCTAACATTTCTCCCTTTTTCAGTTTTATCTTATGCACATCTTTTGGCACTTCTTTCCTATTCGGTCTCAGTGTCCCAAGTGTGTCCATTTTATATTGTAAAAGAATAACACTGAGTTCTAGAGAAGTATAAGAACTGTATCTAACGTACTTATGATAAGATTTTTTATAGATGGTAGCACAGAATTATAGGTTATTTTTCATAAATTAGTAAAAAAAATGCCAGAACTTATTAAATTTCACTAGAAACAAACATCA